TATCCGAAAGCTCTGCTGTTGCAAAGCTGGGCTTGTAGAATTCAGCTTCCTTTAGAAATCAGAGTTTTATTGGAGTTAAATAAGTCCCATCCTGCCCCCCCGTCTTTTAATTGTAGAAATTTCCTTTGGGAGGCTTTGAACCCTGATTTCTAATACTTCCAAATGGGTGTTAAATTCTTCCATTTCTACTCTGAAAAGCAGTTCTACAGTGGCAGACTGGATTTCTTAATGGGAAGCAGTAGTACCTAGAGGGTGGCTGTCAGAAAAACATCACAACTGTTCACAGCTACAGTGATGATACAACAGTGACAGATAGCGTGGACAGCTGTGGTCTACTGGTTGGAACACAGAAAGTCAGGACACCTGAGGTCTCTCAGACTCTGCCTCTCACTGACTTGCCCACACCCTGAAAACATCACTTAACCTCTCTGTAATGTGAGGATAATAATTTTGTGAAGTGCTTTGAAATCTATGGCTGGAAAAGGTGATCTAGAGAAAGTAAATTGTGCTGTTAGCAGATAAGTCTGGATCCTGCAAACACTGATGTGGGTGCTTAACTTTAGGCATGAGAGTAGGCTCATTGACTTCAATCTGACTACTCACGTGCTTGAAGTGATGCACATACACAAGTGTTTGCAGGACTCAGCTTGAAATGGCACCTGCCACTGCTAAACAAGAACACCATTTACTCAAAGGGCCATGTTATGAAGTTTTGTTTTAAAAAAATTCATTTTCATTAGTAAATCTTTAAACAGTGGTATTCAAACTAGCCACTGCAATTGTCCTTACTTTGCAAGACCTATATGTGGAGCAATGAACTAACATGAAAGGCCAGGAAGCTTAAACTGATGTTGGATTCATTCCTAGGGCACAAATAAATTTTCATAAAATATCAGGGTTGGAAGGGACCTCAGGAGGTCATCTAGTCTAACCCCCTGCTCAAAGCAGGACCAATCCCCAAACAGATTTTTACCCCAGTTCCCTAAATGGCCCCCTCAAGGATTGAACTCACAATCCTGGGTTTAGCAGGCCAATGCTCAAAACCACTGAGCTATCCTGTCCCCCCTTCAGCAGGAGATGAGGGCACTCAGCATTTTACAGGATTGGGCCTACAGTTCATAGTCATGAATATAATAGCAGAACCACTGATGTTAATCAGAGTTTTGTCATTGCCTTTTGGGCAGCCAGGACTTTTCTCCATGGTTCTGGGGTTGTAGGCAGGGAGTGAAAGAAAAGCAGCCAAGGAGAAATACTGCAGCAGTTGCACTCAGTAGGAGTAATACCCACCTCGTCATTCATGTAACTTTTAGGTTTGGGGCTGCCATTTTTCAATGTTCCCTTTGTGACTTAAGGAGCTCAGTGCTAAAAGAGAAATCTCACTCAGGGCAGAGATAAGTGACTAATAGGATCGTATGCTGCTTTCAGTACCTCATGGCACATATAGTAACATGTTTCACTAAGGTAACAAACATGGACTCATTCTCTGCTGAAATGAAGCTATAACTATGAGGAGAACAACTGGGTATCTGTAAGGTTCTTTACTTCAGTAAACCTAGAGGGTCTCTTCTCAGAATTTCTGCTTGATTCCTACATCAGTGTAGTCCCAAGCCCCAACAGATGTCAGCTAAGTGCTGTCCAGCCATGGCTTGCCCCTGGACAAGGCCCAACTTCTTCCCCTCACTTACTGGGAAACTGCACTTGTTGCTAGGACCATGTCCATATACTGGCATTGGATAGCAAGCAGTTGGGAAGGACCCCACCGCAAAAACGTGGAGTTACGCTTTCTTTTGAGGGTATAGGGACACAGGAAGCAAACAATTGCTGCTGGTCCTTTAACAGGGAGGGAGCAGCTGGAGCCACTGCTGTTTCTAAGGGGGGAGGGGGCGGGAAGGAGCAGAGTGATCTTTTGAAGCATAGAGGAGGCAGATAGAAGAATGTAGGGGCCAGCTATAGGAGGGGAAAGCGGCGGGGATAGCAGTAGCCACAGCCAGCAAAAAGGTAAGTGCAGATGGTGGGTTTAATTGTGGCGGGAGAAAGCCTTGATTTATTAATATTACCATAGCACCTAGGAGCCCCAGTCTTGCATGTTGGGCTAGGTGCTGTACAAACACACAACACAAAGACAGCTGCTGCCCCAAAGAGCTTACAATCTAAGTACAATACAAGACAAAAGATAATGCACACATACAGCCAGACAAGGGAGCACAAGGAAACACTGGGACGACGGCCAGCACCATAGGCTGTGGTCTCTCAGCACATCAGCAGCCTAACTACTGTCAAGTTTTTTGCAGGTATCCTGGCAAAGGAGGGTTTGTAAGACCATCATGAAGTAGCTTTGAGGCTGTTTACAGGAAGCCCCTCCAGAGCGTGAGAGGCAGCATGGGAGAAAGCATAAAAGTGCTTGTTTGAAAAGTTGAGTGGGCAATGGAGATTGGCATGATGGTGGGCCAATCAGAGGTGAGCACTAACAGCTCAATAGCAATGAGAGATGATTGGTAGGGGCGGGCATAGAAAATGAAGGGCTTTTAAAGTGAAGACAAGCAGCTTGTGTTTGATGCAGTCTCAGAACCTATATAAAATAGAATGCAATAGGGAAGGGGGAGCAAGTGTAGGGATGCAAAGAGAGGGGTAACATGGTCAAAGCGACAGGCTAGGAAAAGTATCTTTGCAGCAGCATATTGAATGGTAATGAGAGGGGCAAGACTGCATTGGTCAAGCCAGGGAGAAGAATGTTTCAGTAATAAAGATGCAATATGAAAGCCTGGACAAGAGTTTTAGCTCTGTGAAGGGATAGAAAAGGCTGTACCTGAGAGGAGATGTGTGAAAAGAATCTGCAGAATTTAGATGTAGGCTGGATATGAGAACCTAGAGAGAGGCTACCTACAGGCCAGAATGACAGGCAGGGTGACAGTGATATCCACAGGAATTGAGAAAGGGAATAGTGGGAAGGGAAGATTTAGAGCTCCGTTTTAGCCATGTTGAGCTTGAGCTGATCACTAGACTTCCATTAGGCAAATGAAGAGAGCCACTTGAAGTTAAATGTGTGTGGTTTTGAAAGCCTGGCAGTGCAAGTATTTTTCATGAGGGCTAATAGGCTTAGTCCTTGGGCAAACAGGTGTTTGAGAAGCAGAGCTTAAAAATTTCCCCATCTTCCTCCATATGAGTAGAGCCCTGCGCAGATACAAAATTTGAATCTGCATCCATCTGCGATCCACAAAAATGGTCCGTGGATTATCTGCGGATTTGCAGGGCTTTACATATAGGGTGACCAGATGTCCTGATTTTATAGGGACAGTCCCGATATTTGGGACTTTATCTTATATAGGCGCTTATTACCCCCCACCCGTCCTGATTTTTCACACTTGCTGTCTGGTCACTCTATTTACATATGAGCGAGTAAACAAGCATGCCGTACTGACTGACGGAGACTGAACCAGGTCCAGTCTGGTATTTCCTGCTAGACCACGGTCCCTCTGCTGGGACATCAGGGTAGAGGAAGTAGATTATTTTGAGAATGCAGGAGGAGGGCACTAGGACCTTTCTTTTCTAGCTGCCTTACCCACTGGCTGCTCAAAAGAGGTTATTCCAGTGCCCTTGGCCAGGGCCTGCACTCCCAGCTCTTCTTTTGTACCCCCATCACAAGCTTAATTAGAAGCCTTAGCTGGAGGGACTTTGGCGGGGGGGGGGATGAATGTGTGTGCGGGGGCTCATCATGAATGCTTAGCTCATGGAAACAGCAGGCACAGCAGCTGAGCTTCTTGCATTTAATGGGCTTTGCTGAAGGGGAGTGAAGAAAGCACTAGAAAAAAACAAGATGCCTTCCTGCCACACTTGTTTTAGCTGGTGTTCCCACATCAATGGTACACAAATAATCCAGGATCATTATCCTATCTAGGATGAGGGTCTTGACTACAGCTGGGAGAACAGTGGGGGAGGGGGTTCTAAATGTACTGCTTTACATTCAAGAATGAATTTTGATTCAATGGCGTTCCTAACCCCCTGTTTATTTTGCTTTCGACAAACGTTCAAGCAGCTCAGGGGGTACTAGCAGAAATGCCTCTACAAAAGACATTTTAAACTTCAAATACTCCAAAAGCCAATTCTCAATTGAACAGTATATGGTAACAGTCACCATTTGTACCAAGTCGTACTGGATATGGAAATCATTTACCCAATCCAACTGAAAAACAAATAAAAAAATCTCTGATTTAAGTATATAACCAAACAAAACATGAATTGCAAACTGCAAATATTCTCAACAAACAGCCACAAATAGACCAAGAATTAGTAACTGAAGGAATTAGCCTACTTATTTGTTCTGTAAAGTTAATTTGAGAATTTGAGTCCGTTTTTGCAAAAAAACTGTACATATATTTTTTATTCACTGGCATTTGTCCAGACACAACTTTCCTGCTGAGTGACTTTTTTCCAGTAAAGGAAGCACTCTCCTTAATGTTTCACTGTTCTAGCAGGGACAGTTTTGTATTTCAGCAATAAGTGGTGGTATGAATAAGACATTTGAAGACAAAGATACAATGGCATAGAAAAGGGGGGACAGCATGCTGTGTTGGGAGAATGCAGAGAGCATCAAAGGGGATGGGGAGTAGAAAGAGGGGGGGCTCAGAGGCAAAGTGACTAGGCCTAGAAAGACGCTACACAATATCAGTGAGTATGGAGCCCTGTGAGATGAAGAGAACTCCTTATATTAAATACGTTCACTGTAATCTCTGAGGTTGCTTGTGTTCCTGGAAGCCTGACTGTTCCAGTTTTAACCAATCTCTGTCTGGTATTATAGAGCAGCCTTACTTTCTGGGCTGTCTGGGGTGCTCTCCTCCCATTTCCTTTTCATGTCTCCCCCTTATTGGAGAGCCAGTGGAACAGTTAGCTTTTCCTATTCAACTTTTGCCAATGAGTTTCTGCTACTGGCTGAAAGTCAGATCCCACAAATGATCCTTCCTTCCAAACTCTCAGCTGAATTAAAAAAACCTGTACTCTGTAGGAACAGTTCGTCACTTTTATTTACAACTGCCTGGTAGTTTTAGAGCAGATACAGTAGAAAGTTGCTGAGCCTGCTGGGCGAAGTTCAAAACTCCAGAGACAGAGCAGGCAGGGCAGCACCACAGCTTGAGTCAATGCAATGGTGACAATAAGAGGCCACACCTAACAGTTGTCTCTTGAGTCACGCAGGGGGGCTGGAAGATCCGTATACCCGGTCTAGGGACAACATGGATTATCTGAGTTGTAAGAGAAGTGGTAGAGATCCTGCTTGACTGCCATGAGGAGGCCAGGAACTCCTCGTCTGCCTCCGAGTCTCGAAGAGAACACCACACTGGGGATGGAGTCCCTGGAGGATGGGTGTGGAGAGGGAATCATTCTGAGCAGATGGGCATCTTGGAGACTCCAAATTCTTGTGTAGCAATCCTGACCAACTGGAGAGGAAAAAGCACTGCAAATCAGGACAAGGAAATGCTTCCACATAAATGGTCATAACCACCTTTGAAAAATTCTGGTCCCAGAAGAGGAAAAAGGTATTTAATACACTATAACAAAAGAACCATTGCCCATCTCCATCCATGCATGAAAAAAATCCTGAGCGCCTCCAAAAAGGAAAAACATGACTCAAATATTTTACTCTACGTAGGGTGGGATGGATAAAAATAACTGTAGGCAAGATCTCAAAGAAATCAGGCAACATAGAGCTTAGTACATCACTATCCAAAGCAGTATCCCCACTGCGAGGTTCTTTATTATCAATCATAATGAAAAAAAAAAAAAGACTCTTACCATAATTGTGCTGCTTATGGCGAATGCTAGAAAAAGCGAACAAATTCAGGAATATCTTGGTGTTTCTACAGCCCCCTGTAAAGGGGTTCCCTTCACTGCAGCAGCACCTCCTGGTGGCCAGGCATGGTGTATCAACTGTCTTTTGGTGTGGCACCCCCTAGCGACATGCACTGTCACCACAGTGGTGTGTCTTCCCATAACTCAGCCCTTCCGCCAGGTCACAATATTTATATCTGCCTCTTTTGGGGTGACAGAGTACAACCAAACTGTAGTACAATTACCTTATTGTAGTCTTCCTTCCGTCTCTGGGCTCTTGTCCTTACACCCCTTACCACAGGTGGTTTCACCCTACCTTTCTCGGTGGCTGGTAGGGGAACCCAGGCCCTCCCTCTACTCTGGACTCAAACCCAGGGACCCTGTAAGCTGGCAGCCAAGGCCTACTCCCTCAGATTCTTTGCTGCCTCCCTAGATGCTTCCTACCTCTCCTATCCCCCCAGAGAGTGACTGCTGGCTCTTTCCCTGCACCCCCTTTCTGCCACAAACTTCCTAGCATTATAATCACAACCCAGCCCTTCCTCAGTGGGGCTTCATTATCAGTTAAGCCTGTCTCTCTCTTGCAGATGCTGACAAGTATCTTAACTGACTTCTCAGGCCCACATGAATCCCTTCAGAACCTGTGTGGGGTACACATCCCATCACATTCCCCTTCATCCTCCTGTCTCCTTTGGATATCAAAGAAAAGACCCAATATATTCCTGTTATTTAATATGACTTTCCAGGACATCTATCCTATGTAAATTAGTTACCCTTTTTATGGGCTCATGAAAAGGTTTAGTACTGTTTTCTTTTACTTCTAAATCAGACACTTGCCACTCTCTCTCTTCCATTTTGTCTTCCAATGTCTTTCCTAACTTCTGACTGAGAAATCCTACTGGCTGGAGCATATCTTTTGAAACCCAGAGGACCATCCTCATAATTAAAATGCATCCAAATCATTTTTGTTTTGAATTACACACTTGTGGTTTATTATGCTGTTTCCAAAGCCAGAAAGGAATGAATGCCCACGTAATTTCCAATAGCCTATCTCTACAAATGCCCCACATACCTGGGTGTTGAGAACCAAACATACATGCACTATGGAAAAGCTGACACACCTGCTGTAACAAGCCCTTCATCCTCATTTATTTGCAGAGGGAGAGTAGCATATTCGTTATGATGGCCCTCGTACTGTTTCACACACTTCACTGCTCTCAGGTCCCACAGCTTTATCTGCAAGTGGAAATGGTAATAGAAGAAAGGCCATTTTAGTGAAGCAGGGGAAATTTTTGACAGTTGTTGCTGGTGATAGGGAGAGAAAGGAGTAGACACCCAAAGTTTTACAAACTCCTAAGTGAATTCCTTCAGTTTTGGAATTACCATCTAGACACCGTTTAGGATACTGGCTGTGGGAAACCACTTATAGAAAGGCTCGTTCCATTTGTTTTATTGCAGGCAACTTGTCTAGTGAATTGAGCAAAGGACTGAGTTTTAATTTTGCTTTGCCACAGACTAGTTGGGTGGCCTTGGGGAAGTCACTCTACCACCACCACTCCATCCCCCATCTCTGTTTCCCCATCTGTAAAAAGGAGATAATACTGCTTATTTACTTAACTCACAAGGCTATGGTGGGGAGTAACTGATTAGGCCATGTCTACACTAGGGGCACTATAGCGGCACAGCTATGCCTTACCTACCTATGCTGCTGTAACCATGATGCAGACTACAGCAATGGAAGAGATTTTTCCACTGCTGTAGGAACTCCATCTCTGGAGCATCAGTCACTATGTCGATGGAAGCATTCTTCTGTCAACCTAGCTGCGTCTGCACCAGGGATTAAGTCAGCACAGCGATGGTGCTCGGGGTGTGGATTTTTCACACCTTGGAATTCCATACTGATGTTGACCTAAATGTGAAGTGCTAAGCATTACTAATCCCTTTTCTAGGGAATGATGCAAGTGCTAGCTAGTTGGGGCAATGGAATATAACTTTTGTGGTACCATACGCTGCCCTGGCAACTTGTTAGAAGCCAAAGGAAAAATGAACTTCTGTATTTTTCTGCCTCTCTCTCCCCTTATCTGTCTTCTCTGCCTGTCCTCCCTGTTTTACCTCCTCCATAAACTCCACATTCTCCTCTCCTTTATTCTCTATTTGCCCCTATTCGCCTTTAATTCATTATCAAAATATCTTTCTTAGTGGATCTCCCAGCTCTTGAATTCTCTCTGGTGGAGTTGCTCAGGAGGATCTGCATCAGACTTCTTATAATGACCCACTGACTAGCAAGTAGCATCTCCATCTGAGTCAGGGAATCCCAGTAGAATTCCAAGTTCTTGAGTGAGCGTGTTGTGGCTGTTCCAGTGCTTCGTGCTCATGCACCAGTTGGAGAAGACAAAGGCCATGTCTACACTAGTGAGCTTATAGCAGCACAGCTGTACCTGTGCAGCTGAGCCGCTGTAAAATCACTCATGTAGCTGCTCTATGCCAATGGAAGAGAGCTCTGCTGTGGACATAATTAAACCACTTCCAACAAGCGATGATAGCTATGTCAGCAAGAGAGTGTCTCCCGCTGACACAGCACTGTCCAAACCAGCGCTTAGAATTATAGAATATCAGGATTGGAAGGGACCTGAGGAGGTCATCTAGTCCAACCCCCTGCTCAAAGCAGGACCAATCCCCAGACAGATTTTGCCCCGGATCCCTAATTGGCCCCCTCAAGGATTGAACTCACAACCCTGGGTTTAGCAGACCAATGCTCAAACCACTGAGCTATCCCTCCTCCTGGTGTGTTTTTTTCACACCCCAGACACAGGTTATATCAACAAAAGTGCTAGTGTAGACATAGCCAAACTCTAAGTATCTCAGAACCAGGAGTAAAGATCAGAGAATACAGACATCTGCAAACCAGTCACAACTTCCTTCTGACCAATCAGTGAGCTGGGAAAGCTTTGAGAGATTGGTCAGGGGACAAAGAAGAACTAACAAACTCTCTAAAGACAGAGGCATCCTCTTTCAGGTCTTTCATGGCCAACAGAACATATGAGACACTATCTAGCTTTCCATAAAAAGAAACTCTACCTTTCCAGCCATGTCTGCTGCCATAAGATAGTACTCAGCTTGGAGAAGGCGCACAGATGTGACTGCTGAGTCATGGAAGAGACGGACAGCTTTCCAGCTGTGGCCCCTCCGGCTGCGCTGACGAATGTCAATGCTGAAAACCTCCCCTGAACGGCAGCCATTGTACAGCACTGGAGTCTAGACAAACCAGAACATGCAGGGAGATGAGTCTTGTAACATTTAACAGTATCAGACAGGTTTCTCTAGTCAGTTGTGGCCACTTTCGTAGGAAGGGTTCAAGTACTAAGATAACCCTTCATTGTAGTGCCAGAATATTATCACTGTACATGGAGGATCACAAGAACAGAATTGCATAGTCACGTTGCAAAACATTGCAACCAACTTAGGACTTTCCTTCTGCTTTCAAACATTTAGCAGTAAAAAAGCAATGGAAGCTTGGTCTGATCAGGGGAACAGAAGTTGAGAGTCTTAAGTTCTAGTTCCATCTTTGCCACTAACTTTGACTCTGAGCAAGTCATTTAATCTCTCTCTGCCTTACTTTCCCCATCTGTAAAATGCAAACAATATAGATACTTAGTGTGTGTGAAGTGCTTTAAGATACTCAGATAACAGGCACGATGACTTCAAAGCCGTATTATACTTCCTTGCATTTGTTGTTTCACTTTCTTTTTAACCCTTTTCTATTTAGCAAAATTGATCCCGCCCCCTCCATCCCACCCCACATTTCCAATGGAGCTTGAAATCAGTGTAGCTTATTTTTGTTGCTTTTCCATGGTCAGCCACATCAAGTATCAACTTCATTACTGAGCAGCTACTGAAGCCACCACAAAAAGTAGTCACAGTGAGTATAGGGCTGCTGGTTCCACAAAATCAGCAATGCATACATCTCTCTAAGAAATCAAAGGCCCATGTCCCTTTCTACCTGGGTAGCAAACTGTTGTGCCAGTACATCACTGCTTGTTCCAAATGTCTGCCGATGACCAGTCATTGCATTGGTCACAAGGACTCGTCGCATCAGCCCTGAGAAAGATAAAACAAACACATGGCCATCATTTGGGCAATACAGCTTGGAGGCTATGATGGGGGAGATCTTTCCCCTTGAGAAGTAGTACAAATACATTCCTGTTTACCTGTGCTGAAGCAGTTATCAGCCTGGGGGTTCAGGCACCAAGCACAGGACCAGGCAGTAGAGATCTTGAAGCTGCACAACATTCCAGGCTGATCTCCTAAGAGTGGCAACAGGGACGAGAACAAACTGTAACCCTAGGCACCACAAGGAGATGTGGGAGGAAGCTTCAAGTTAACTGTGCCCCTAGAAAATTTCACCAGGCCTCTGTACCTCTTACAACATTCAGGTTTTCTGCTTCCAGTGCACTAAACCACCCAGTTACAGGCCTGTTGCTACCCACCCTGTTCTTCTGGAAACAGAAGATTGCTCTACCTGATGCTTGAGTGATTGCCAAAGAACACTGCCATGGAGAACTACTCTGTAGTCATAGGCATGTTTCTGGGGGAAGGGAGGGAAGACTGAAAGAAATAGCTACACAATGCACCCACATTCGCAAGGTTTATAAAAACTGGGTATACACAGTGCTTTAATACAACTGCATTGGAATAAGGACACCATTTCGGCTTCCCCAACAGCCCAAAGCCTGTCTATGCCCCTGCCTCTCCCCTTGACTGAGAATTCATAAGGATTTTCAAAAAGTAGCACATTAGGCACTAAAATTATGTTCATGTGGGGGGAAGAAATGGGGGAGAAGTGAGGAAAGCTCTTGTTTGGACAAACACAGCTTTGAAGATGCTACACTGGCCTTCCTGTCTGCTGAATTAGCAAAGTTTAATTATATAGCAACACGCGAGATTTGCATTGTTCCCTCAGCTCCCAACCCAGTTCAAAACTAAATCCACTGACCATTCCTAAGTGTGCAGTTTTTATTCACTTCACACAAGTATGTTAAGGCCAAGCCCTCAGTTTAGGGTTAGAGATGACACCGCAGGTGTCTTATGTATCTGAAAGCAGTGATTTTCAAAAGATCTTAAAACAGTGGTCCCCAAACTGTGGGGCGTGACCGCTCTAAGGGGGCATGGAGGAACATTCAGGGGGACACAGCGGGGCTTGGGCCAGCCCCCACAGGAGGCAGGGAGGGAGCACCACCCAGCCCCACTCTGCCCCTTGTTTGGCTCTGGCCCCGCCCTCTACCCCAGCTGCAGCTCAGGTGCCGGCTGCAGCCCCGCTCCTGGCCACAGCTCCAGCCTCGGCAACTGACCATGGCTCCTGACCACAGTTCGGGGTGTGTGCATGCACATGGACAGGTTTCATTATGGGTAAGGGGGGGCACAATAGAAAAAGTTTGGGGACCACTGCCCTAGAACTACTTTTGTCAACTGGTAAAGCATCCTGCAGTCTTCAAACAGCAACCCTTCCTGTTAGCACTAATGCTATGTGACTGTTTTTAAAAAGCCTCTGGAAATAACTCATGTATTCTCACCCCATCAAGGTGCTTTACATGTTTGTCTTCATCAGACACTTCTGTGATGTAAATTTAACTGTAGCCAAACTTGCAAAGGACACAAAAATTAGAGGTGTAGCAAAATTCGAGAATGACACTACAAAGAGACCTGGAGAGAGCAGCATAGTGAGGACTTAAGTCAACTAAGGGAGATTCAACCCTTACGAAAAGGAACAGCACAAATACAACATAGGGGAATGTAGCCACACCCATCAAATTAAAGCCAATTGATTTTAACCTTCTCTCTTTAATATTCACATGTTTTCATATGACTGAACACTATACACAGTGCTTGCCATAGGCTGGGGGTGGGAGATCAGTACTGGAAGAGGAGCAGAGGGACCTACAAGAGGACTGCCATCTCAAATAGTCCCATCAATAAACATATGTGAACAACTTCTGTGGGCAAAGGTCATACCTGGGAGAACAATTGTGCACTGGTTCACTCCATTTGAAAGGACCAGATAGTTAGACTGAGCACCTGTTGGGCTATCTATCTATCCAGGTTCTATGTATTAAGGGAGGCCAAATAGCTTACATAGGAAAAGTTCCAGATAAATATTTACTATATAGGCGAGTACATTTTCTGCCAAGTACCATACAGTTAACAACTGGTGCCATAAGCGATCATTGTTAACTAGTTCCTAAAATGATTACTATCCAAATCAGTTCTTGGGCTTCATCACACAGTGTTAATATTCATTCTTGTGACGCTTACAAAACCACTCAAAGTATTAGAGAATGAAAATACAGAAGTCATCCCTCATTTAGGCCCTCTTCAGACTACAACTTCTAACCAGAACTGAAAGGTATTCTACCTGGGTTAGAGTTGCTGAATAAGGATGCTGGAAGCAGACTGGCACAGCCTGGAGTTTCTGCAATCCCCATGAGGCACAACTTGCTGGAGCCTGTTAAAGAAAACCAAGATTTCTCCCAGAAGTGGCACATGTTGCATAAAATTACTCGGGGGGGGGGGGGGCGGGGGGGGGGGAGGGAGAGGGAAGATGCCTCTGAAGCATGGTACACATAATATTCTGTCCTTCAACAGTGCCTCTTGGATGACCTTTAAAGTGATTTACAGTCACTAATGAATTAAGCCTCATCACACCTGTGAGGTGTTCATTCCCCTTCTCTCATAGGAATTAGAGGACAAGATTTGTAATTCTAGGATTCTAGTTTTAATATTTAACGTTACCCAACAGGGAAGGAGAGTGGGAGGAATAATAAAATCTTTCCTGATTTTTCCGATCATAAAATATCATCCACATATAGAACTTTGGAGAGTGAAGACATAAAAAATAACGTTTTCCAAACTACTTTGGGTCTGTCTTTCCCAGTGCATAAAAAAAATAAAAATGGGGTTGTATCACATTGCTCTCTGGAGGTAGTAACAGGTATGGGCAGAATTTAAACTTATTTTTCCAGATCAGTGTGATGGAATTATGATCAATAGATGGGCGAGAGTGAAAACTCCAGGCCTGCTGCAGTGCAGGTCTGAAACACCACTCTGAAAAGTCCTCTTCCTCTCCTGGTAGTATGACCATGACACTCTGCTCCCTCACTCTATCCACTGGCTTCTTGCCATTGTCTGAATAATTTTCTTGAACTCCTTGTTCTCCCTTTCAAGGGCCTTCAGAATCCAACACTTGCCTACATCTCCCCTTGTTTGCTAATACTCCAGCAGACACCCTTTGTCTGCCAACAACCTCACTTCCATGCTCCTTTCACATTCTCCCATTTGTGTCCCTGCACCTTCCACGCAAGCCTCCGTCAGTACAGATGTGCATCTTTTGTGTAGCATTCTGCCACTAATCTCTAATCAGACATTCCCCATTGCCAATCCCAAACCTGACACCCTGATAGGTTCACAAAAGAAAAACACTTTAAAGAGCTCTTCTGAGAGTTTTCCTACCCCAGCCCATTACTTTGTCATTCCTGCTATTTCCTCCCTATACCCAAAAGTGATTTGATGTAATTTATTCATTGTGTTAACTCTGAGGGTTAGGTTGTGAGATCCTTGTCTTTTGACTTACTATATATCTGAATGCTGCCATGTGTACTTATGACTTAACAACATACTTTCTTTCAGCTTTAGGGCTTCTTTTGTTATTTTCCAGTGACCCATTAAGCCCCTTTGAGGCAGGTACTTGGGATTTCTTGTTGATAAGTGGCTGTCAGTCAACCTGTAGAACTCTTTGCCAGAGGATGCTGTGAAGGCCAAGACTATAACAGGGTTCAAAAAATAACTAGATAGGTCCATCAATGTCTATTAGCCAGGATGGGCAGGGATGGTGTCCCGAGCCTCTGTTTGCCAGAAGCTGGGAATGGGCGACAGGGGACAGATCACTTGATGATTACCTGTTCTGTTCACTCCCTCTGAAGCACCTGGCATTGGCCACTGTCAGAAGACAGGATACTGGGCTAGGTGGACCTTAGGTCTGACCCAGTATGGCCGTTCTTATGTTCTGTTTTGTGAAGCAATTTGCCGTCTAGTGGAAGCAAGCCTGAAGCTTTATTTATTTATTTTAAAAAAGGATATAAAACATGGGAATCTTGATGAGTCAGCGATGCCCAGCACACAGAATTCACCTACAAACAAAAGCAAGACAGACCAATACTTGCTGTCTCCTGTTTAATTCAGAAAAGTGCATTTTCAAACATTCCACATAAGTCTGAAAAACTGAGCACACACCCTTAGTATACTGGAGAATGCCAAGAACAACCTGGAAAATTACTAGTGATGACTAGCCCAATAAAGAGAGACAGGCATTTCAGCCTCTTGCTAGTACTTGCATGAAGCAGAAAAAGGTCAGCACCCAAAAAAGTCTCCCCAAACCTGGATGGGCCCATTCAGCACACCTCTTAACTAAGACAGTTTTTCTCCGTGGAACTGGGCACCTACAGGTTGTCGTATTTTGTCCTAAAAGTTCTTCCCATTCAAAGAGAGGTCTTTTTTTTTTTTTTCTTCTTTCTTAAGACAAAACAGAGCAAACAAATCAGCAGTAGAATTAATCCCTCTAGGCCTCTCTTTTCAAGTGCTGCCAAGAGTAATTCTGTGGAAATATACTGCTCATGAAAGGTGCTGGACTGACTGCTTTGCAACACCATTCTCCAAAAGCAATTCAGGAGTATCAGAGCTCAGGTCTCTGTGGATTCTAAATTTACTCAATCCCTTATTGCTGGATTCTTCCATTCTCTCTTCCTTCCCCCTGCCCTTCCCTCCCCACTTCCTCATTTCTACTCACACATCCCATTGTACAACATTTTGAGAGTTCCAGAACGGAAGGAAATCCTCCTGGATGAGGAGCCAGTGGAAGAACGGTACCTTGCGGTTTGTGAAGTACAGGTTGTCATACATCTCCACCGTGAGAGAGTCCTTCCCTAAGCCACTGAGGTTGATGATACCATATTTACACCCTCCATGTTCTACATCATTCACAGTGAATATCCGCTCACAAGCCGTGTCTGCCTGCAAAAGAAGTGCATCACTATGGGCAATTAAACTAGACCTGGCTTTAGGTTGTCTGCTTGGGTCCACAATGAGAAATCCATTAACTTTGCTTTCCCACCATCACCTGCACCACAGACACTGCATGTATGTGGCCATCTGCATTCTAGAGAGATTCACTAGAAAAACATTTCAGATATACTATTTTCCACTTCAACACCTGACAATAATGAATGCTGTCTCCTATTGGCTGAGTTCTGGCATGACACTGTAGACAGATCTTGCTGTCATGAGGAAGCATAATCAGTAAGTACAGGCTCCAGCACATAAATGAGGCCTGCATAAAGAATTTTCATTCAGTGTAAATGTAGACTTTTCTGTCATTTGAAAGCCTCCTTCCCCTACTGGATCAGATTGGTGCCGTTGCAATCAAAGTGCTGGTCCTGAGTTCCAGATTTTGCTCTCATTTAAGCCAGTGGAAATTTTCAGTACCCCCATTGGCTTCAACAGCTTTCACTTACATGGACCGGATCAGCAGGGAGCTTCCAAGGCAGCCTCTGTAAGATGCCTGCCCCTGAAAGCCGCTTCACACCACAGCGCCAGTCATAGCAGGAGCCATGGAGTAGGGGTAAGTTCAGGGCTTCTCAGCCTGCTTCTCCTCACTCCCATCTACATAGCCAGGACTCAGTGTGGGTGAGCTTCCCAGGTAGCCTCTGCTATCAGAAGTTCTCACCCAACCCACAAAAACCCCCCTTCAGATCCAGAGACTCATGATGTCGCTCTTAACATCTGCGCAGACTTTTAGGACTATAAACTCTGCTCTAATCACTGACATGACTCTTCCACCCCCATTCACTCCATCAATCTCATGCTTTCCCTTTCTCCTCCCTCTTTTGTTATACTCCATTACCCACCTACCTGTCCTCCTCTCTCACCAGCAGAGCTTGCCAATTATTTTCATGACCTTTCCTCCCACCCTTCATGTGGCTCTGTCTTTGCAGATTGTAAACTCTTCAGGCTAGGTGTTAAGAAAGCACCCAGCACATTTTGGGCACTACCACAATATAAATATGTAATTGAGAGCAATATTTGACCCAAGGACTTATTCATTCCAGCAAAAGAGTGGAAAACAGTCAGTGCAGACTGCTTAAAGGAGAATGGTCACAGGGAAAAGATACCATATTCATGCTTAGCTGGCCCCAGAGCTCCCCAAATCTGGAATACCTTCTTTATGGGAGGAGAAACTGCCAATACAATCTGCTACAAAGAAAAGCATTTCCCAGTGTACATAACCTATATGTTGGGTTATTACAAATCCCAGAGCTCACAAGAAAATAACTATAGCCAAGTGCGCTCTAGCCTTAAAAACTGAAGTGCCCATAACATACCACTATTAGTTTAAAATTGTTGGTTCCAGTAACTGAGGAATCTGGGCTCCGAATCTCTACCTTCCTCCTCTGCATGCAGTTCACCTTTAATTCGTGGACCAATCTATAAAGGAAAACATGTTTAACTATGCTGATATTTAATGCCAATGAAAGGAATTCTGGGTAAAAGGCATTGAGATGCTTCTTCATCTCAGCAGGTTAGGCAACAGGTAAACAGCTGGCAGGTTGCAGCCCCAACAATGTATAGCACGAGCAACCTTCAGATCCCAAGACTCAGAGGAGGTCACCATATATAATCTTCGGGGATCCCATCTGTATGTACACCAGCCTTGTCCCACCAATGCAATTTCCCAATCAGCTTCTACTACAGAAGGCAGGTTGCTGGCATCTGCTGACACACTGTCTACAGTAGCACTCTCACTTGCACCACTGAAGCCATGGAAGTTAAGGAAAAGAGAAATTTCCTGTAGACTAGGTCCATTAAAGTGTATTTACATAAGGGAAAACTCTACAATATGCTTATAAAGTGCAGGTGAGTATGTATTTATGTTAAGGATGGGAAATTTCGCACTCAAACTATTCAAAACCCGATGATTAGAGAATATTTTTTTGCATCTTAATTCTTGTCATTTTAGGGGAGACTTGATGAGCCATTCTGTAGGCATGTGCTGTATAAAATGTAATGGAAAAGCTGCACAGAAAACAATGGGCTGTCTTATCAAAAAGGCAGTGTATACTTTTGTATCTATTACTGATGCTTCTCCAGCTCTGTCCCTTACTGGAACAACAGGGTACACTACAGATTAATGGCAAAGAAACATTAGCAGTAGGACTTTATAGGGTGAAAAAGGATTTGAAATTATCCTACCTGCAATAATTGGTGGAGCTGAGTAACCCTAACTGCCTCTTGCGTAAGACAAGTGATGAGTTCAATCCAGCTCTGGATGTTTTCTATTAAAAAAGAACAAATGAAAGTGTGCAATTATGTGCTTGCATAGGATCAGAAGCAGCCCATGGTCCCTTCATGTCTCGGATATTTGGGGAACAATTTATCCCTAAGCCCTTGCATTTAAAAGCTGTTTTTCAAAGGAGAACAAAGCACTTCCCACCTTAAAAAAAAAAACGGTCAAAATATCCACTTTGAGGGGGAAAACGAATTATCAATGGATAAATTCCCTCTTGACCTCCAGAATAGTGTCTGGCTGCTTCCAAACACAAAACTAACTGAGTGCCCTTCAGACTACTGAATTCCACATAATTATCCAATTTTTGCTTAATACTATGTGACTGTCTCATCTTGCGGTTCGAAATCCATGTACCATTTTCACTACAAAATAATGTCTCAAATTCTTATCTTAAATCAAAAACTCTGAAATACAATATGGCCACCTAATGCTGCCATAGAAACTTTAGCTTTGGCATTTCCTTTTTTATTTTAAACTGTGCAACCTTAATGTTGCAATAACCAAGCTTTTCCATTTGTCATTTTACAGTTGGGCTGAATACTTTCAGTGCTCATGAAAGCAAAAGATGGAATATTATTGTACATGGAGCTGGGGCAAGGCAAAGCATACCAGATTTTTACAATCCATTTTGTAGTATTAACATAGATTGAAAGTCACTTTTTCATCAAACAGGTAGTTGGAGCCTGACTTTCAGAGGCGCTGAGCACCCACAGTTCCCATTGAGATTAATGGGATCTGCAAGTGCACAGTGCCTGTGAAAACTAGTCCACTGAGGTAGTCACTTTTTTAATGGAGACATCGGTCTGACTCCATAGAGAAGGAAGCATATCCTGGCCCCAAACGATAGTATTTACTCTCTCTCAGAGAATTCATTTGTTTTGAAAACTTAAAAATAAATCAGTTAAAGAATTAAAATTAAATTAAAACTGGGCTCTGTAAGAAGTTTAGAACCTTGTGTCAGACTTTTTTTTTTTTGCCCTATGATCTCAGTAACAGAACCATAGAAACATCAAACTTCCCATAACTTACTAAAATCTTGTCCTTAAGCTACATTTGAATAAATGTTAAGGATTAATCATAATTTTCTTTTTATTCTTCATAGAAGTTTTTTTTCAGCAGATGCTAAAGGACACAATGTAAAAACAGACTATTAATCCTTAAAAATAAAAAATAAAAATGCATATGCACAAGATTTTAGTGAGTTTTATCAATGAACTGTTTGAAGATTCTGTGACAGGGCAGAGTTAAGGTTTTAAGTTTAACCTTAATTGTGAATTTCCTGACTTTATCATACTTGGTTCTGAGATAATTACATCACCCCTGTAATGTATTTTACCCTAAATTACTGATTATGTAGTGTCAACCATAACTCCATCTTAACATAGTTTTTTGGGGGGGTATGAACAAATGTTTGAATATTTGACCTTGAACATCAAGCATTAGAGGCGATTATACCAAAGCTGAAACTGGAGGGTTTTATAACCTGTAGCCCATCCTGGTGTCTTGGGTCACAGCACAGTAAAGTTTAAATGAAATTTCAGAGACAGAACCCACCTTCTTTTGCATTTCCTCCTCTTCTAAGAGCTTCAGTCTCTTGCACTCCATCTCCTTGTACTGGAGGCTCTCTTTGGTGAGAGGGTTGTAGTTATTATGTCCAGGGAGCAGGCGGAAATAGCGGTTCTTTTCAGGGTCATAGTAAAATCCTGGTAGTTCTATAAAGAGTAAATACCAAACAAAATCAGATTGAGAGCAAACCTTTTCTATTGCCCTTTAACCTCACCCAATACCATAGTAGCAGCCAAGAAGCAGCCACTTTGGGGATTCCAAGTCAAAAAGGACATGGAAACTTCTGCTTCCAGACCGGCAGGTCACAAATGGGGAGAGGTATTGATTACATTAATGGCCACCTCAGCAAAAGCCAGATCATGCTTCTATTATCTGTAGACGAAATGTCATTACAGGGATATGGAGAGGGAGACCAGCTGTAATGGAGATTAAATTCAGCAAATAGAAGTGGGGAAATACAGGGAAAGGTGCTCCAGACAAAGACATGGCCCACTCTTCTTGAACATAAATAAGTCACAAAAGACACACTGCTGACAAAAAAATTTTTTTTTAGGATGCCCCAAACACCAAGAACAATGGACAACTGATCATCGACCAAACATAAAAGCAGCAATCCCTTTCCCCAGGACAAACACCTTTTCCTAATTACACTTCCCAAATCAAAGGCTTAGATACCTACAATCCATGAGACATTTCAATTGTGGACTGCGCTGGCTCACTCAGGGTACATCTACACAGCAAGAAAAACCCGCAGCTGGCCTGTGCCAGCTGACATGGACTTACAGGGCTCTGGCTGTAGGGCTGTTTCACTGCTGTGTAGACTTCTGGACTCAGATTGGAGCCTGAGCTCTGGGATCAACACATCCCACAGGGGTGTGTTGTATTGTTATATTTTCTTTGTCTATTTAACATAACTCTTTCAATAACGTAACTTTTAGAAGATTTCTGCCACAGATGGCTATAGATATTAGAGAGGCAAAGTAAACTATGACAGGATCTTCTATCTTCATGCACCCAATGTTTAGGTGCTGATTTTTGGCCCCTGCACACAGTGGTCTCTTACCAGGCACTGGAGAGCTAGGACATACTTCAGAAGAGGATCCGCTGTTGCTGGTGTCTGCATTCAGTGAGTTCCATGGTTCCTCTTGTTCACACCTAACAATAATGCACTGTTATGTCCGGCTTGCAAAATGGTCTTGAAAATTTACCAGCCCAGATGTAAGATCTCCTCACACACCTTTCCCATGAAGATTATTCTAATGAAAAAGCTATTTTGCTTTGTTAAAAACAATGATTTTCCCTAGGTGAGTAGAATTTGGCAAGGCTGTTAAGTATATTGTGTATACACGGGATATGTACACAGAATGAACATACAATGTGACAATAGTAATACTTCATTTTCATCTTCAAGGTATTATATAAACATTAAAAGGTCATCATCATCTTAAAATCTAGTCAATTTTACCTGAAACTACTTTTAATGGTGTGTTTTTTTTAATATTGTACAACTGCCCTGAGTTTTCCTGTCAATTTTTGTGATTTGCTCTCTCCCTGCCTCCATGTTGTTATGTAAAAGATCCACACAAATAACAGGGGAAAACACACTGTCTCTACAGTGAAACTGACACTATGGGTGAAACCTTGGTACTGCTGAAGTCAATGTGAGTTCTGTCTTCAGTGGGGCCAGGATTTCACCCAAAGTGTTTTGAAATGCACAAAGTAAAAAAACTGAAGAAATCAGAGAAAATTACTTCTTTATTTCAATTACAGTGAGCTTAGCTATTTTGTGCAATAACAGCAGGTAAAAGACTTTCAAAACAGCAGTAAGCTATTTTAAATTGACGAGGTCCATACTTTAGGTTGAATTTCCCTGGGTTATTTTCTTAAGATTCTATTTAAAATTACATGCATAATGTGTTGCTAATTCTCAATGTTTCTGTTCATACTAAGTTCTGTAATGGATCTTATAGCCTGTCATTCTGAAAGCAGTAGGTCAAGCTGGCTTAGAGGCTGCATGATTTAGTGTTCTGAGAACAGGATTAGAACCAAGAAACTTCTTAGTTCTAATACTGGCTCCACCACTGTCTTGCTGTGTGGGATTGAATTAGTTACTTAAAGGACAACAATTAACACACACAAAAAATCCCTTAAATCTGAAACCCTTTTAAAAACCTGTTTCCCCTGTATAGTCAGAATGAGGGTCCAATCCTGCAAACACAGGGGGAGGGATAGCGCAGTGGTTAGAGCTTTGGCCTGCTAAACCCAGGGTTGTGAGTTCAATCCTTGAGGGGGCCATTTAGGGATCTAGGGCAAAAAAACACCACCACAACACTGTCAGGGACAGTACTTGGTCCGGCTAGTGAAGGCAGGGGACTGGACTCGACTCAATGACCTTTCAAGGTTCCTTCCAGTTCTGTGAGATACATATTATAAAACTTTCCATGTGAGTAGTCCCAATAAAATCAATGGTTCATAATGTTTGCAGAATTAGAGCCTTAGTCAGTTTCCCCTGCTATTCGTGTGAGTATCTCATAGCAACAAGGGAGAGAAAAAAATTTAATGACACAAAAAGTTATCAGAAAGACTCACAAAGGCAGGTGTAATATGTAAACAACTTTTTATTGTAAAAATGGGCTAGATTTCAAGATAACAGAATCCCTATAAACTTTATCTCAGTTTCCCAGTCTGTAAAAAATAGAAAATACATACCTATTTTACAGTAAACATTAACAAAACAAATTAAGAAATACAAAAAAACCCACCACCCCCAAAATCCCAACCTTCCTTCCCCCAAACTACCTTTGTGAACTGTCTTAAAGCCCACAGATAAAGTATTAAGCGGTGTACACTTGCCTTTCAGTAAAGCTACAATGGTTGGGTCTTCTGTAGTGGTTGGGATGGTGGGTTTGTCTGCGATTGCTCCACCCCTCCTTTTCTTTACTTCTCCAATTGTTTCTCTTCATTCCTCACACTAAAGCACACAGATACATACACAACCACAATTTCAGTTCCAATTGTCTGGAAGGGTTCAACACACAGGGTATTCTCTTACTACATAATTTTCCTCATATTTCAAATTTGTCTTGACACACTGCTGGTCAAAACTAAAGAGACAGTGAAGGAAGAAACTTATTTTAGGATGAACACAGAGAGAATATAAAGGCCACTTGTAATATAAGTAGAGAAAGAACAACAGCTTGAATAATTTAAAATGAGATTGGACTAATTACTGGAGACAATATAGTATGCAATAATCCTTATTTGGCCCACAGGAGAGCAATAACATTTCTTAATATATGTTTTCCATCTAATTTCTATGTATGAATGCCCAGGTACCTAGAATTTCTATGGACCAAATTCAAGCCTGGTGTAAACAACTGTAAATCAATGGAAATACACTTCCTAACACCAGGGCTGAATTTGGCTCTATGGAGACTGTATATTGGCAGCAATAATATTCTTCCCTGTCAAACTAAAAATTGCATTGAGTTAAGTGCAGTGCTTCAGATTATAACATCACATGCTTTTTGAGGTGTCAAGTCTCTTTCTGCAAGGAATTAAGATAATATCAGATTGATGGAAGGAGAAATATCAGTTTTACAAAAAAGTCTTATTTGCCTGTGTTTTAGTTAACTTTTGGCTGACCTATTTGTCAATGCTTTGGTTATACTGAATATATTTTAAATGATAAATTCTGGATATCCCCATGAATATAATACCTATTTTGTTTTTCAGTATTTTACTCTTGCAGCACGATGACAGTATGGACTCTTACAGCATGATTTACATCACAGTAACAATACACATAACACCCAGCAGTTCAGACCAGGAGCCGTGTCCCATTATGCTAGGTGATGCATGGACACCTTCAACAATATGGTCATTACAGGGTTTTATGAATACCCCCCCAGTAACATGAGTCAGGGTATATTGCTTGCTGGATTTCCTGAACACAGAGTAGCCTGGTGATTGGCAGTGCTTTTTTTAATCTGCATTTCACCAACCTCCCTCTGAGACTAACACGGCTGCTACTCTGAAACCTCCCTCTGAGAATCTCCCTCCTATACCTTCATGACGTGCACAGCTGAGGACCAGGTCCCTGCTTAACTGAGAATCTCCCCCCTTAGCCCCAAAGAAGTCAGGGCCCTGCCCACGTGCCCCTGCCCGGGGTCCCCCCACTATGGGTTACTGCCCGGCGGAATCATGCAGGAGCGAGGCCCGCACGGGCTGGGAGAGCCCGGCCCCCGTACGGTAACCCCCGCCCGAAACTCACCTCTCTGGGCCTGCTGCTCCCGGTCGCCACACGTGAAAACAGCCCCGCCTCCTGCACTCGGCTCCACCCATTTACCGCTCCCAGCCCGCTCACTGGTTCAACTGTCATTGTTGTAGGCTTCTGATTGGTTCTTAACAGTATCTATCATATGACATACTGTTCGCCCTGCCAAGAGACCAAAGGGTCAGGCCTCAGGTGATCACTCGCTGGGGTGGGTGGGGTCATGTCATGTCACGTGACTGTCGACGGTAGAAGAACGCCGCGGGCCGGTGTGCCCAGGAATGGGGTGGGGAGTCTGGGCTGCGCGTGCGCAGTTGCAATGGTTGGGGGAGGCGCCGGGTGGCATCGCCTGTGACTGCTAGTCGCGCCGCAGCCTGGGGCGGGTCGCCATAGCCCGCTCATTTGTTTGCCCTCGGCTGAGGTGGCCCGGCACCGGCAGTGAGGTTAGGGCGGGTTTTGTGAGCACCTGCCCCTGGGTAACTGAGACCCCAGCTTCTTTCCCCCGGGCTGTTAAACAGACCCCGCAGCTGCTGACGTTACAGCCGATCCCAGAACACCCTGATGTCAATCAATGCCTCCTAGACAGTCACGAGTCAGCTCATGCTGCCTGTCCCCGACAAATCCCTTCCCAGAGGGTTCGAGATAAGGCTTTGGATGTGAGCCTGATACAGAGTATGAATGATTTCCTGTAAGCACGCAAATACGACTGTTTCGTAGGTTTGCTAGCTTAAGTTAAAAGGATAAACTGAATTAGTAGAACAACTTTTTTCTGCAATGTTATTTGTTTACACTGACTATTCCTGCTTCTGGGACTGGGAGCCACAATAATAAATATTTGAGCAGTATAATATGTATAAATAGTTTAACATGCATTTAGTGTTTTTATAATACAGTGTTATGTAAGAAACAACAATACATGATACCTAGGTATTGGTGTGGTTTGCCTATTTTATAAGGAAAGAGAGTAGCTCAAAATATATCAGAAGACCTAGTAACTAAGCATATAAAAGCCATCTGAAATATACAAATTCTACTGTAATTCTAGTGGCAAAAACCTACCAAGTGTGTCATGTACAGCATGACTGTTAGATTATTTTATTTACCAGCAGTTAATCTTGCTGTTACAGATAAACAGTAAGTCTGTTATGCAGTATATTATGTGCAAGTCCCTGCTCTTAGGCCCCAGAGACCTCAGCAGCTCCTACAGCCTCAAGCTACAATTTCTCCCACAAAACCTATACACTGTATATAGTTTATTAATGTTAAAAGTTATGTTAATCTTTCATTGTAAGTGAGGTATGTGCCTCTAATTCCTTTTCATTTGGGAGTTTATTCAACTGCATGAGGAATTTAAATTGGGGCTTTATGGGGAGAATTAAGTTCTATTCTCTGCTCTTCTGCTGACTTGCTGTGTTACCTTGTGCCAGTCACTTACACTCAATGTCTGTTTTGACCTTGTGAAAGGGGGATAATACCCACTTCACAGGGGTATTGTGAGGTCAAAGTCACTTTGAGATCCTTGATCCTTGGATAGAAATGCAGAATATTGTTTACTGAAGCTCTCTAGGGGATTCCAGTAACATTTTGGCATAAATACACCTGAAGTGAGGCTAGTGTTCTCTGATGGAATTGGGGAAATGTTTGTGAAAGAAACAGACAGGTAAATACAGGGAAAGAAATGGGTGTTTTCTCACGGAAGCCCAGCGTCTACTGAGAGATTTGGAAGTGACACCAGTCTTTCCATGGAGACATAAAAGTTCACATGTACCCCTCCAGCACCAGTAAGGCAAACCACAGATGTTGTTTTAAAAAATGAGCAATCCTCCTATACAAAGGAATTGAGGACTCTGAGCAAAAAGCAGAGATCTGGAAGCTATGCAAGCTGTCAGGGCTTCTATGCCCTCTGAAATTCCTTGTCTAAAATACACAAGAGAGCAGTAGATACAAGTAAGTAGATTAAAGGAAAACCCACTTTGAAATGTAAATGTAATTAAATGTCATATTCTCTCCCCCCTTTCATAACTCTCCCCAAAATTAATTAAAAGCTTAGAACCTCATTTTCTTTAACAATTTATCATGGATAAGAAGGAAACCACACACTTCCGTCAGGACAGATTGTTCCGGGAGGGTCATTCTCTAGTCCTTTCTTGCTTTCCTGAATTAAATGCTATTAAAAGACATATTGGAGAAGTTCACTGCTGGAATAAAATAGAAGAATTGCAAATAAAGTCTGGGCAGGACAGCTGTAGGACCGTAACATAGTAATTGAAGGTGAAAAGGTGGCAAGGGTACAGGACAGTCCGAGGTGGGCAGTAAAAGGCAGGCAGAAGGGGGGCAGGACAGGAGGTAAGGAGAGAGGTGTCAAGAGGCAATTATAAGCAGCAGGAGGTTAGGACAATTGTGGGCAAGTTGTAGAGGCAGGTGGCAGAGATAAATGGCCAGCAGATGCCAGGAAGCATAGGGTTCTGGGTAGAGAAGGGGTGGCCAGCGTGAGGTCCTTGGGACTCTTAAGAATTGGCCTTGAGAATAAGCATGTTATGAAGAAACAAATATTTTATTACTAACTGGAAATATGTTCCCTGCGAACTATTTTTCAGGAAGAGAGGAGTGAAGAGCAAAGCAGCCTCTGAGCTCCTGCTCCTTTAAGAACAGGGAGAGCAGAGGGGTGGAGCCATGTAATCTCAAGGTGGGGAGGGGATTGGGGGCCAACCAACCAACCATACAGCAGCTGATATGGGAGGCACTGGGGCATCCAGGAGAGAGAATGAATGGTGGCAGGAGCCCTACAAAAAGATGTAGAGTGCCCCTACTGTAATAGATTTTAGAAGGATTGTGGGGCTTTTGCCACTGACTCTAATTGATTTGGGAGGATTTTAGGGGTGGGGTGGATTTCCTGAGGAGTATGGGGGTTGGGGAGAGAAGAAGGGAGAGATTTGGGTGCTAGGTTATGTTCTTGGGATTGCTGGGGTCATGTTAAAGGAGAGAGGCTGAGATCCTAAGGGCTGGTTGGAAGGAAGGAAAAATGGGTGTTCCTGTGGAAAGAAAGTATCAGGGGGTAACTGTGTTAGTCTGTATCCACAAAAACAACAAGGATTCCGGTGGCACCTTAAAGACTAACAGATTTATTTGGGCATAAGCTTTTGTGGGTAAAAAACCCACTTCTTCAGATGCTTGGAGTGAAAATTATAGATGCAGGCATTGTTATACGGACACATGAAGAGAAGAGAGTTACCTCACAAGTGGAGAACCAGTGTTGACGGGGTCAATTCAGTCAGACTGGATGTAGTCCACTCCCAATAATTGATGAGGAGGTGTCAATTCCAGGAGAGGAAAAGTTGCTTTTGTAGTGAGCCAGCCACTCCCAGTCCCTATTCAAGCCCAAATTAATGGTGTTAAATTTGCAAATGAATTTTAGTTCTGCAGTTTCTCTTTGAAGTCTGTTTCTGAAATTTTTTTGTTCAAGTATGGCTACTTTTAAATCTGTTATATAATGTCCAGGAAGACTGAAGTGTTCTCCTACTGGCTTTTGTATGTTACCATTCCTGATGTCTGATTTGTGTCCATTTTTTCTTTTACGTAGAGACTGTCCGGTTTGGCTAATGTACATGTACAATGCACCTCCCTTTGTCAGCCCCTTTGATTATAATGTCAGAGTTGTTTCTGAGGCTGTGGATGGCGTTGCGGTCTGCACGGCAAGTGATGCTGTTTGTTCACAATTTCAGCCTGTGCACGTCTGCGGAAGCACTCTATGTAGAAGTCCAGTCTGTCATTTTGACCGTCAGGAGGAGTCCACGCAGAATTCTTCTTCTTGTAGTGTTGGTAGGAGGGTTCCTGTGGGTTCAGTGGAGTGTTGAAAATATTCCTTGAGTCGGAGACGACGAAAGTAGGCTTCCAGATCACTGCAGAACTGTAACTCACCCAACAATATTGTTAATCTATCCAATCACACACTCTTCTGCCGAGCTATCTTGGGGACTCTTTTTCTGTCCCACCACCCCCATGAACATCCACATTGGCCTGGAGCGGCGAACCGCGGCCTGTGGGAGCTGCGATCGGCCAAACCTGTGGACGTGGCAGGTAAGCAAACAGGCCCGGCCCGCCAGGGACTTTCCGTGGGGGGGGCCGTGTGCCAAAGGTTGCTGATCCCTGGTCTAGGTCTAGTCAGTAAGGAGTCTGAAGAAGTATCAGAGGGGTAGCCATGTTAGTCTGAATCTGTAAAAAGCAACAGAGGGTCCTGTGGCACCTTTAAGACTAACAGAAGTATGAAGAAGTAGACCTTAGTGGCTAGCTGTAGGGTCTCTGGGCTGGAACCCAGAGTAGAGGGAGGGCTTGGGTTCTCCTACCGGCTGTGGCAAGTTGGGTGAAGCCTCCTGGATAAGGGGTGTAAGGACCACAGATCCCAGAGATAGAGGGAAGAGCTGCTATAAAGTCATTGGACTGTAGCTGGGTTGGGTTCTCTGCCTCCTGGAAGGGATGGACTCTAAAGTGTGATCTTGCTGGAAGGCCAAGTTTCAGGAAGAGAGACCACTGCAGAATGGAGTGACACCATATGGGGAGACAGCTGCTATGCCATGTCTGGCCATGTGGAGGTGCTCCTGCAGTGAGTGAGCCCTTTTATTGATGGGGTTTTTAAAAGCAGGGCTCTTAGTTATCCACTGCTTCACTCCCCAGGCCTAGCTTCAACTGCTTACAATCTGGTTTGGCACAGGGAACATGAGTGGGGAGTTGCCTTTATAGACTGCTCAGTTTCTTAAGAATTTAAGGCAGAGCGGGGGGGAGTGGGGA